TGTGTCTGTGTGTGTGTGTGTGTCTGTGCGCGTGTGTCTGTGTGTATGTGTGTGTGTTTGTCTGTGTGTATGTGTGTGCGTGTGTCTGTGTGTGTCTGTGTGTGTGTGTGTGCCCGTGTGTCCGTGTCTGTGTGTGTGTGTGTGTGTGTGTGTGTGTGTCTGTGTGTGTGTCTGTGTGTGTGTGCGTGTCTGTGTGTGTGTGTGTGTGTGTGTGTGTGTGTGTGTGTGTGACAGGCCGTTACTCTACCGCTCTCTGTGAATGATGGTAAATGGCACCATGTGTGTGTGACGTGGTCGACGCGGGACGGCCTGTGGGAGGCCTATCAGGACGGAGTGAAGAGAGGCTCAGGAGAAAACCTCTCGCCCTGGCATCCCATCAAACCTGGAGGAGTCTTCATACTGGGACAGGAACAGGTAACACACAAACACAGCATACAATCAACAAACTCCAAGCACATACTGCTTATATTTAAGCACAAACCAAGAACACATGGATAGCAACACCATCCACAACACACTAGCACTGCGGCACAAGCACTGAATGATATTTAAACCCTTGTGGAAAAAGAAGTGCGCTTAATTGTATTGAAAGACGACTTGTAGTGAACTTCAAATCTTAAAAGACTATTTTAAAAAAAACTGTACTTGCAGATATTAATAAAATAAAAGACGACACTTTCATGACTGTTTCTTAACACACTTAAGTAGATTTTTAAAAAGTGCGCTTTGTAATAATGTAAAATCTTTTGTCATGTTTTAAAGAAATACTCTTATTTTGATGTGTTGACTAACATACTAAAGCACAAGTAAAGTACTTGATTATCATTTTAACTGTTGAGCGTTATTCAATATTACATTTAAAGTTAATATATTTTAAATGTACTAAATTACAACTTCATCATTACAAATGTGTAATTACAAATATATTTAAATCCATGACATACAAGTTTAAACAGAAATGTCATTATATTTTAGTTGATCATAAATGCTTGTCAGCACATTCAGCAGTAACACTTTAACCATATTTCAAAGACAATAGAAGTTATTATGAAATTATATATAAAGATGTACTTAAGTCCTATTTAAGCGGGTCAAAAGTTCAGCTAATTGAATTTAATATAAATTTATACTAGTGCTGTCAAATGATTAATCGCGATTAATCGCATCCAAAATAAAAGTTTTTGTTTACATAATATACTGTATGTGTGTGCACTCTGTATATTTATTATGTACTATATAAATACACACACATGCATGTATATATTTCAGAAAAATGTTACGTTTATATATTAAATATATTTATATGATATATATGTATAATATATACATGTAAATATTGTCAAAATAAATGCTGTTTGTGTGAGTCTTTATATATACATAATAAATACACACAGCACACACACATATATTATGTAGACAAAAACTTTTATTTTGGATGCGATTAATCGCGATTAATTGTTTGACAGCACAAATTTATACTATAATACATTTTCATTTAATTGCAAGAAACATGCAAAATAAGTGTCTGAGAACATCACATGTACATGTACAGTATATTTCTTTTTCACAAGGAAAGTCGTATACTACATATATGAATAAGCCAGTAAAGTTGCATTCATGATGCTGACTTTATGTATAAAGTGCATAACACACATTCTCAGCTGATGACGCTGAATGTGTTTAGTGTTGCTAATATAATATTCCCGAATCTCCGTCCAGGACACACTGGGTGGCCGCTTCGACGCGACGCAGGCGTTCGTTGGTGAAATCTCAGACATGCAGATGTGGTCTCATGTTCTCACACCACATGACATCTACAGCCTGGCGTCATGCGGAGGTCACATGACCGGTGACATCATCACGTGGGCGGAGTCAGTGGTGGAGCTGCACGGCGGGGTCACCAAATACCCCTTTGACCCCTGCCACTAAAGAGAAGGACAATCTGATTACAAGCCTCAGAGTGCGGAGTGATCAGCTTGTTTTGAAGCATTCTGACGACTCGTAACCTGATTTGAATGCAAAATCCTTTCATTATCACTTCAAAAATATGGCCTTCTGTTTACACGAGAAACTTGAATGACCCCATGACCTCCAGGATTTCAGCACGGACCCCTTTTGTATCGTTTCAGTGTTTTGTGTAGCGAACGTTTTCTTACTGAACTTTTTTTTATTCTTATTCTATAAATGGCTCTTCAGTGCCATTCAGTGTTAGATGCAAGCACACGACATATTGTCATAACTTGGATAGAAACCATAGATCATGAATAGAATGTGAAGACAGAAGTGCTATAAATGTAGATTAAGAGTAAAACTCAAGGCTCTATTCGAGCAGATTGATTTTCTTGTACTGTAAGAAGAATCTAAAGATACAGCGAAACCAAAGAGAAGAGTCGCACATGCGCTGCTGTTGTGTTTGTACATTGTTTGTTTTTCTAATGAAACATTCTAGCTGAAATGAGTATTTCTTAGGTTTGCCTGTACTTGTCCATGTTAAACTGTCTAGCCAACTCAAAGCTGAGCTAAATAAGCAGCTATTCTGAGACTTTTGACATGTCTTTAGTTCCAGATTGTGTCGTAGTGTTTTAGCTTAATCTACTGTGTTTCATTTACTGTAAATGCGTTTCAAAAAGAATATCATTTTCCACTAATGTTTGTGCATCGGAATTTAGTATGCATTTACTGTTTTTATTAACTTTTCATTTGCTTACAGTTTTGAAAGCAGAAATGCAATAAAGGGACTGAATTTTGAAAAAAAATTCATAGCAATTCCATCATTTCTGACTAGCTCTAAAAAGTAATTTTGTAAATGTTTTTCATTGCATTTCCAAAGTGAAGTCTTCAGGCTCGTCTGCTGTCCTGCAGTATTGATTAGCACAAGCCTCTCAGTTAAAGAAAAGCCTGGTCTTATGCTGGTCTTCATCGCTATTATTAGAAACTAAGCTAATTAAGCATGTGAAGCGTTTGATAGGGACCTGCAGAAAATATAGACACTCAAATATATATATATATATATATATATATATATATATATATACAAATATGACAATAGAGTCCCAGAAGTGAAGTAAAAAATACATTATCTTTAATATACATAAAAATATACTGAATTAACATGCAATAGATTTCTTAACCATTTTGTTTGGAAGTGAATTTCTAGACGATGTTCTGAGCTGAAATGCATGGTTTTTTTTTTTGCGTTTGTGGCATTATGGGAAGACTCTGGTCTGAGTATCTGTGGTCTGCTGAGGCACAGAATAACAAGATTAGGCCGCACTAATCGTTCTGGTTATCAGTCAGGAGCTAACGAGCTAAAGCAAAGTAGGATGAAAAACATGACTTCAGAGTCTGCATGGAGGACATTACAACAATCAAAAATAGAGGTTTACATTATCTAAAGCAAACACGAGTGCTGCTTGCTATTGCAAAATCATCTGCCACGATCCCCATCACGCTGAACTGGTTTCTTTACTGTATATCCAAATCTCATCCACACTGCTCCGGGTGTGTGTGTGCACTTTGGATGGGAAAAATGCAGAGCACTAATTCAGAGTATGGGTCACCATACTTGGCCACATATCACTTCACTCACAAAATTACATCTTACACAGTTTTACTATAAAAGGTACTTTTAAAGTAACAATAACATGTTATTTACAAAAAGTATGCAAATACTTTGAACTATCGACAGCCCTAATTTTGCAACAAAGCCATGACAAAAAAAAAAAAAAAGTAATTATTTTGGTGAATTGGTGGCAAACATATGTTGTTCATATGCTCACTAAAACTAAAACAATAAAAAAACATTGTTATTTGAAATGAAATACTTACTTTATTTCAGCTAGTTGCCACGGAAACATGTTGCATCCTAATCTAGTTTAACTTGGAATACTAAAACTAAACCTTAAATAAACAAACAAACTAATTAAATAACGATGTAGACTTAAAAAAAAAAAAAAAAGACAAATTCTAAAAAAGACCATTTCTAAAGCTTTAACATGAAACTAAACAAAAAACAAATTATCAAATTCAAAATATTAACAAAAATCAGTGAAAAAAAAAAAATTTCTCTATAAATCACACTGTACAAATTAGTACAAAATTGCAACTTCATAAAAATGGCTTCTCATGAGACAAGACAGTTTCTATTTTGTAGGTTTAACAAGTCAAATATTTCTAAGTACCCCTGCATGGGAATAATATGATTCACCAGCAATAAAAAAAAACCACAACGTTAAAGTCCTTTTATCTATTTTGTTTATTAGAGTTGATTGGCACCAGTGTACCATAACTGAGTTTTCATCTTGCTACATGAATTTTCCAACAATCTGTACCATTCTGTGGCCAATCAGAAGCCGGGAGAGAAAACAAAGAGGAGCAAGAGCAAATGCTTTCATTTGTCCTACTGTATTCACAGACTAGCTGAAAGGCTTTGGCACCTTTGCACTTCTCATCAAGAATGCCCAGATTTAGACTCTCCAAAAGTCTTCATCAGACCACGATCTTCGTGCCTGAAACATGAGTTTAAACGCATAGCTTATATCAAAGAATGTACTGTTGTTATTTAACACTTGGAGTCTCAGTCACATACAGACGGCCTGTGGCTTCTCATACCATACGATGTGAAGCAGATTCACTCCAAATGATCTGAAAGGGACGCTGTATACTGGCCTCCTATACATGTGCAGCAAAGCTTAAACCAGTTCAGAACTGCAGTACTAGTTACATACTCACATACTCAAGCTGTGGTTTAGTCAAAACTGTGCTGAACTCTAGTAAAGTGCCAAACTATTAAATATGTCTTAAAGTCAAAGACATCAGTTACTATAGCCAAGCTTTATATTCATCGGGGAAAGTCACAAAAGTCAAGCAAAATGCACTGCTAAACAACTCTCAGTATGAACCGTTTCATAATTAGTATATTTAAATAGAGCGGTTATGTTAAGACTCCAGACGCTATTAGTGTTCTGTATGATCCGTCGTTTTAAAGAGATTTCTGGAATATTGCATTTCCGATTTTGTTACTGCTTGTAATCCGTAGCCCATTTGAACTGCAATGCCAATTTGTTGAGTCTAGAAATACAGAGCGCTAATAGTCGCCCGAAACACTGGCGTCAGATTCATCCGTTACACAAGATGCTTCAGTTCAGTTCAACATGCACCCAATCCTTAGTCCTCACATAGAAAGAAAGAAGTGAAAAACAATAAATAAAAAAGGCTATCAATTTGGGTTGTAAACAAACATAACATGTATTTACAAACAGAAAAGGCAAAATATAAAGTACATTGGAAAAAGCTGCCATGGACTCCTTCAAACCGAACAGCACTGAGTAAGAGGAGTGACCAGTGCTTCACACAAGCAACGATACAGGTCACCGCACACATCTTAGGATCGGGGATGAGAGAAAAACATCTTTTTCATGGGGATAAAGCAGCAGACGCGTCTTTCTCTCTCATAGCAAACACACACATTCAGAAAGATAGGACTTGAAATTGAAATAGCTCACCCAAAAATGAAAATTTGCTGATAATTCACTCACCCTCAAGCCATCCGAGATGTAGATGAGTTTGTTTCTTCATCAGATTTGGAGAAATGCAGCACTGCATCACTTGCTCCTCTGCAGTGAATGGGTGCCGTCAGAATGAGAGTCCAAACAGCTGATAAAAACATCACAATAATCCATAATAACGCTTCCTCCAGTGAAAAAAAAAAAAGTGCATCTGCTGTTGTCTCTCACATCAAAATCCAGCCACATATTTGTTTAGAGCTGTTTAGGCTTGTAAACAGTGCAGATTTCTCTCCGGATTCAGACCAGACCACGTTTTCACTGCAGGAAGCGTTATTATGGATTATAGACTCGTATTTTCAACAATCTGAAGTTAAGTAAATCCATCTATAAGTCGTTTTTGAATTATTGTGATGTTTTTATCAGCTGTTTGGACTCTCGTTCTGACGGCACCCATTCACTAACAGAGGAGCAAGTGATGCAATGCTGCATTTCTCCAAATCTGATGAAGAAACAAACTCATCTACATCTCGAATGGCTGGTGGGTGTGTAGATTTTCAGCAAATGGTCATATTCAGTCCTTTAATTGCATGATTTTTCCCCCCAATCGAGACAGTTTGCTTGTAGTAGGAAATAGCAAGAGAGCGAATCTCACCAAATCTGTCAAGATCACGAGTCAAATTTCATTCAGAGAAATAAGAAATTAGATTTCATTCACACAGAGGAGCTGTGCTTAGTTATGAGAATAATGCCAAATGATGATAACAATAAATAAAAAAAACCTTGAAAATCTGCCTTTTCTTTACACACAAAAAAAATCTGTTTTCTGTGTGCGATATAATCTGGACATGTTTTCGTGAGATTCGCCCAAGAACAGCTTCGAGGTCCCAGTGGCTGAGTTTTGGAAACACTTGTGTAAGAACATTCAGGGCTGTGGGATTTTTAAGGCTCTCTTTTCTTAAGGTGAAGGAGCTTATTTAAGGATTCACATATAATGACGAGCACTTCCACGGGTGCTTCGATGGGTCAGTGAAGTTCAATACAGTTGTCATCAAGTTATCAATACCAATAACAGTGTAAAACACACATCCTGTTTCACAGATATGCTGGAAGTGATATGTAACTAATAGGTAAACTGAAGTGAAGTTCAGCATGTGGTGTGAATAGCAATGACCTTCATTTATAACATGTAGATACACTCAAACGAGTAAGAGATAAATAGTGTCAGTTTCTATAAAATAAGTTTAAGACAGGCAGCAACATAGACTCAGTAAATCATAGCGACCGAACTAACACAAGCCTTCAGCGCTCATCTCTGCTAAAGGTTCGGATAGATCCGCCCCCGATGATGACGATGATAATGAAGAATGCACCAGGCTGTTTGGTCGTCTTCTCTGTTCGTGTAAGAACTTCACAGTAAAATGCTCTTGATAGCAGGAACTGGAACTGTGAGAGCGGAGGGAGCGTGAGACGAGGATGGAGATTTACGCAGATTCATGACGGTGAAGTCCTGTGGAATGTCAGCGAGATAAAGTGAGTATCTGTAGTGTGTACTAGTGTGATACAACACTGTGTAGTGTGCAAATGTAGGAGAAGTGTGGAGATAAGAGCTGCAGTCCAGACCACCGAAATCCAAACCGAAGATGATGATGATGATGTTCAGGTTCCCCAACGACATCCATCTCTCCATAAACCAGCATAACAGATCGATCTGACGAGAGCTACCTTAATGAAGGATCATTGGTTTCTCAGAGAATGGAGGGAGCGTATGGATGGATGGACTTTCAGGGTTGCTCTTCTTTCTTCTTTAGAGAAATGCGTTTCTTCCTGGCTGCAAGCATCTCGTAGAAGGGGTCCACGCTCACAGCGGATCTGAAACAAAACACAAGATCATCTTAAACCTGCAAAGTCGTATTCGATACACATTTCTAAGGCCTCATTTAGCTGAAAAACCTGTTTCACACACAATCTACTCCACGCCTTCTGTCATCTAATGGTTTATACTTTTTTTTTTTGATCAAGTAAAAGCTTTTAGTGTAATTGTAGAAACGTCCAGCTTCAGCTCGAGCTTCATGTGTCTTTCTGCTGTCAAATATTTACAGAATTTTATAAAGTAAACGTCAGAATAACTGCAGTAATATCTCCAGATGAACTCTTACTGGACTGAAGCAGCTCAGCTTTACTTGATTCTCCATCAATCATGTTTTAGAGTCTCAAATCTGATCCTCAGGATCTTCTGAGGAGCGTTTATTTCTTCATCTCTCAATCAGCACTGGATTGCATTGTATTATATGTTTGGATCATTTCAATCTCATCTTACTAAGACACATTATTGGAGATATAGAGTGATGACTGAAATTTATAGCATTTTATGTCAGTCTCTGCTCTACTGTTAATCAGAATTTCATCTTACTTTTTGTCATATAAATATCAGCATCTGCACCAAATTGCATATTTTTAGGGGTGAGATGATAAATCGATTCATGGATTGATTCGGCGATGTTCGCAAACGCATCGCAATTCTCTCTTGAATCGATTCTGAGCCTAGTTTTTAACAGCAGATGGTGCTTGCTTCCAGTTCCTTACACACACACACACACACACACTTACACACACTCTCACGCAAACACACACACTCTCACACACACACACCCACCCCCCACTTGAACCTAAAATAATCATAAAAGATCGAAAAGGTTGAAGCAAATTCTGATTCTGAGCCTAGTTTTTAACAGCAGATGATGCTTGCTTCCAGTTCCTTACACACACACACACACACTCTCACGCAAACACTCTCACACACACACACACACACACACACTCTCACACAATCTCTCTCACACTCACTCACACACACACACACACTCACTCTCACACAAACACACACACTCACACACACTCTCACGCAAACACACGCACACACACACACACACACTCTCTCACACAAACACACACACACACACTCTCTCTCTCACACACACACACTCTCTCT